CTCAAGTATTATTTACGTTTGATACAGGGATATATATATTTAAAATGATGTTTTTCTTAGTTTCATAATATGTAAATATTATTATTTTAAAAAAAATTTCATACGATATTGATATACATATTCAGGCACCATTAAATTTAATAGAAATCAACGAAAATAACATTTTTAGGACAACGAATTTATTAATGTTGACAATAATATAGGAATATTACTTAAACAGACTACTGAATATATTATTTTGAGTATATCATATATACGATTATTATTGATTATAATTATTATTTTTATTCATCTTTATTTAATATTTCAAAAAATATCTTTCTTAGTTCTATAATATATAGATATTTATGTATAGTCAGTTAATTTATAATTATCCCTATATTATATAATATATACATATTTTTGGCTTTTCCTAACAGATTCCGATTCTTTCGTTAGATATAATAATTTCCCTGGCTATTTTTAGCTTCGTCTCTAACTTTAGACTGTCACAATTAATGGATGTTGTTACTCTTTATATAATAATACTTCTTGCCGGTCAACACAACATTTCCTGCCCAGAGTCCTCCCACAGTCCACAGGCAGCGCGACAGTTAAAATTTATGCTCATCATGCACTGAGAGTATGTCATGCAGCCAGCGAGTTGCTTCGACAACGTCTGCCCACATACATATATCTGTATGTGTAAATATATATACGTGTGCGTGTGTGTGTAGTTTGTGCCACCGAATGGCCTGTGGGCCTCTGTATGTTCTTCTTTAATTAATTAGCATCTAACTAAGAATAATGTTTCCTGCGGCCGACTGTCATAACTTGGCCGGCAGTTTATTTGTTCTTGTTGCTGTTGTCGGCAAAGATACAAAAAAGATACCGAGATACAGATACACGACTGCACAGCTACAGCGCAGCACAGGTGCCACAATTTCAGCTCCCGCTCCTCCCCCCCACACACTCACACACACACACACGCTCTTGCCCCTGTAGGGGCAGGCAGTCGTGCATGGCCAAGGAAAAGAAACAGAAGGCAAACATTATTATATTTTTTTTTGTCTGTTTCTTTTTTTTTTTTTTTGGGGGGGTGCCAAATAGCTGCCACGCCCCCACCCTCAACTTATCAGCAACGCTGGTTGGCATTTTTTTCCTTTAGTCTTATTCTTGTTTTTATTGCTCGCCAGGTTTTTTCTTCTCTGCTCTGTGTTAAGTTGTAAAAATGCAGCTAAGGGAAATTATTTCTTGCGGTCGACGTCAGCGTCGTCGTCGGCGTTTGTTTGTGAGAAAATTTTCAAGTGTTGCGGCTCATAAAAGTAGCCACTGTATCTATGTGTTCTGGTTATGCGTGTGTGTGTGTCTTAGCATGTAGTTGAGAATTTTTTCATGTAACGACTTGGCGCCAGCTCTGCTCTTGTTGTTGCCTCTGCAGTTTTTTCCTCTTCACATTTTTTTGTTCTTGTGTGTGTGGCAGCTTAAAGGCGAAACAACTTGAAGTTTTCCACAGTTCGTTTTGGCTGTGGTCTTTGCGTGTGGGGCGCTTAATTAGTAAAAAACAAAAAAAAAAGAAAAGTTCTTGTTGTTAAAGTATCCCAAATATTTCAGGCTGTCAGCAGAGCTTAGAAAATGGAACACTAAAAGCATTTTACTTTAAAAATAAGACTAGCACAGACCCAAGACAATTACAGCACTGAGCAGAAGTGAATTGGACAAAGTGTAAATTGTGAATTG